GGGGGGGGGGTTCTTTGGTGGGGTGGTAGTTCGATTGTGGTGGGGTGGTAGTTCTTTCTGGATAATTCTCTTATAAAAAAGTTTTTGTTGGTAAATGAACGATGGGGTCAATGATGAGCACGAAGAGGCTATGGAGTCCGGTGGTGGTGGTGTGGAAATGGTTGTGAAGCAGCTGATAGAAGCTGTTGGAGATTTGTCGGTTGTAGCACGTACTTTGGAGCGTTGGCCTATTTATGCGCCTCCTTTAGGAGTTTCTCAAGAGCGGCAGGACTCCGAACGTCAAAAATTCGAGAGGGCCGAAATCAAGGGGAGACAGCGTATAGCGGAGCACTTGCGGCGGTTTATGAGAAAGAGCCGTCGAGTATGTGAGATCGTCTCTCCAACGTTTGACTTAACCAATTTACCGCAAGACCTTATAAACCACGTCGATGCGTATTTATCGCCGAATCTATGGCTCCGTGGATTGGTAACGGAAGTGCAGTATGCTAACGACATCACCCGAGGAGAATTGGTTGCATTGGGCTCTATGCATTCCACACTCACGTTTTACCTCAACGTTGTTAAACAATTAAATGCAACGGAAGGCAGTACAGTTACCGTTCCGGATTTCTCTTTACCGTTCCTACCGCCTACCGTGCTGCGCCCTCCAGTGGTCTATGATGCTAACACCAATAACATAAGCATTCCACACATCCTAAAAATGTTGATTAAACCTATTACGCCGTACGACCTGCGCCAGGACCCTAAGGAACCCAATCAGGTATTGTTCCCCCCGGAAATCACCGGTAACGACCAAGATGAGGGACCAGGGGGAGATGGCGCGGTGAACGAAGAAACCGCGATGCTGAACAACCACGAAGCCGACGACGAAGACGGTGGGACTCCAGCAGCAGACGACGAAGACAGAGCTCGAGCTGCTAATGACGGACAACCCCGCGGGCAACCTGCTACAGGCAACCCAGTAGACCAAGCGCGGTCGACAGCCCCGGGCGACGGCGAAGGTTTGTTAAGCGCTGCATCGGGGAAGGCGTCCACATCGCAGCGAGAGAAACGCGAACTGGAAGATGTCAGCGAAACTAGTGCTGGCTCCAAAATTCGACGGGTAATTTGAGGAGTTTTCCATCTTGCGCTTTTTCGGTGCGAGCGGTATATACAAACACGCGCGCGTGTGCTCAAGGGAAGGATGAAGATTTGGCTAGTAGTTATTGGTTCTGTGGTGTCTGGAGGTAGTGTAGATGCTCAATTGAAATCTTGGATTACGAATTCATCGAACGGTGGCGTGGCCGTTGGCGGCGCCATAACTGATCGCGCGAACTTGGTTGCAGGAGTAACTAAAGGAGGTCCGGAGCGCCAATACCCAGATACCGTTTCCCCTACGATTGCTTGTCCGGACGGCTTTGAGCAGCAAGGGCGAGCTTGCGTTTCCGTGGAATATTTGGAGATGTTCGCTACCTGCCCGGAGCAGTTTTCTTTGGACCCGACGAATAATGAATGCATAGCGAAGAAGCGGAAGCCGGCAAGATTCAACTGTCCGGAGGGTTCCAACCTCAAGAATGGCAAGTGCGAGACTGCAGAAGTGGTAGCCGCGCTCAATGTCTGTGATGCTGGCTGGGAATTGGACGGCAGTAACTGCATTCGACAGGGCGCTATTTCAGCCAAGTCGGCTTGCCCCGAGGGGTACAAACTGGCCAAGAATGGATGCATTTCGGTCACGAAGCTTACGGCAGAATTTAAGTGCCCTCACAACTTTGAACTCAACGGCAAGAAATGCGAGTCGTATGTTTACGAAGCTCCGGTGAAGGAGTGTCCGAGTGGTTTTACGCTATTGGAGGACCAATGCGTCCGGCAACACCGTCAGCAGCCGCGGTTCGAGTGCGCTCGGGGCGTCAAGTCTCCGCACTCGGACGAGACTTGCTATATCGAGACGGTTCTGAAACCGGTGTACCGCTGCGGGGAAGGTGGAGGCGGTTCTGATGTGAGTGCCGCCGGATCGAAATCGGCTAAGGTTGAAGCGAAGGGCAAGATTTGTGAGTTCGTTCTACGACAGGAACCCAATTATGGCTGTCCCACCGGCTTTGAGCGGCAAGCGGACAAGTGTGTGCGAATTGAGGAGCAGAACTTGCAGCCTTTTTGTGATGCCGGTTTTAAGCTCGAAGCGGACGGACACTGCGTTCGATCATACACGCAGAAGGCGGATGTGGCCTGTCCCGAGGGAACGCTGACCAAGAACGGCGTGTGCATTGTGGCCACCACCTCGCCAGCTGAAGCGGCCTGTCCTCGCGGTTACAAACTCGAGGACGGGCTCTGCCAACAGGTCCTGTCCAAGCCCCCTCTGGAGCGCTGCCCGCGTGGGTACAAGCCTACTTACCGAGATGAGTGCGAGATGGTTGTGTCCATCGTGCCGGAGGTTATCTGTCCGACCGGGTATGTGGCCCGTGCAGGTGTGTGTGAGGCGACAGAGGTGACGCCTTCTATCGCCGTCTGCGACAACGGCACTGAACCCACTCCCGATGGCCGCTGCCGCAAGCAAGAAACGAAGATGTCCAAGGTGGAATGCCCTGCTGGTTACCACCTGAGTAAGGCGCAAGAGTGTCTCCGCGTTGGTAGCGTGACGGGTGTGTACAGCTGCGATAACCCCGAGGACCAAGTCGTCAGTGATGAGTGCGAACAGATACAGAGACTCCCCGCTCTGGCCGAGTGTCCCAAAGGTTACATTGGGGTTGCGGGGCAGTGCCAGAAGACGGAAATCCTGGAGGCGAAGCTCGAGTGTCCAAGAAAATACAAACTCAAAAACGGTCTTTGCTACAAACTAGCCCACGAGACGCACCTCTCTGCCCACTAGCTCCTCTCCCACCCGCGGTCCCTGGCCGCTCCGTCGGTCTTTTTCCCTTTTTCTTACGACCAAATGCTCCTAGTTGCAAATCTGACGTACGCCTACACAAACAGAGTGTAACACCTGCCGTTTGACAGCAGCCTACCCGTTCGTTGTTGCCAGTAAGCCTTTTCGAGAGAACTACAAAGTGCGGTTACCGCCGCGTCGAGGAGGTTGGAGGATGACGTCAAACGATGTGGTGGCGATGGTTCGTGGGATGGTGGTTCGGGAGACGTTTTACAAAAGGGAGACTCCGAGTTTATTTGTGGTAGGAGGAGAGACGGCGAATGAAACGGACTACGAAGGTATCATGTATGTGGCTGTGGCGAAACTCGGAGACGTCCAAGACTTGTTTCGGGAGTGGGAGCCGGTGGCGCCGCAGGCGGACTGTTTTGAAGCACTCCTGTTGGCAGTCAACCTCTTGGCACAAAGCGACACCGGGGAGCAGGGGGGGTCGTCAACATATGACCCTCTTGGCGCGAAGAGCATTGTGGTGCTGGGTCAACGCGGTATGACATGGAACGACGACGAGGGGTCGGAGGAAGCGATTTCTCTGATCCAAAGGCATGGAATCTGTATATCGTTTATTTCAGATGAGGTGGGTGGAGAAGATGAAGACGAAGGAAATGCAGATGAAGGAAATGCAGGTGAAGGAAATGCAGGTAATGAAGCGGGGTCCCGGTCACGACCGTGGGAATTGTTACAGGAGTCATTGGGGCTAGATATGTGCAGAGTGTGGAGTGCACATGACTGGTTTTTGGAGGTTATGCTGAAGCCGGATATCACGAAGGTCAAGCCCACTACCACCTGTCGATTGCCTTTAGAGATTGGCGAGTTGAAAATACCTGGTTACGTTTACTTGTGCTGCAAGAGTAATGCTCCTCCGTCTCTGAAAAAAGGGACTAGGACGATGGACGAAGCAGAAGCTTCTCAGACAGGGGCGGAAATTGCGCCGGTCGTCCAAAGCCGCGTTGCGTTCGCTGAGGACGAGGCGGGGCTGGCATCAGAGCAGGATAAGGAAGAGATTATCAGCGCATACTTGTACGGCGATAAACTTATACCGTTAGGAGAAATCGACAAGGATCTGCCGGCGTTACCACCGGAAGACAAGGCGTTGAAGCTAGTACATACTGTCACAGAAGAAGCGTATGAGTCCTTCTTTATTTTTGGAAGCACTTCCTTTCTTGTGCCTGATCCCTCCATTCCGAATAGTCTTGTGGGCTACAAGTTCTTGGCCGACGCACTGAGGAAAAGTCACCTAGGCATCGTAGCGCGTTTGAAATCCAGGTCCAACTACCCACCAAAGCTGGTCTTACTTACACCCCTGACCCGTCCTGACAAGCGCACACGTGTGCGCAGGCATGCGCCCACTGAACAGGGCAATACGAACAGCTCGAATATAGATCCCCGATTATCAGACGACGACTGGAGACTGGACTGCTGTTTAATAATGAACAATCTCCCATTCAGGGAGGATATCAGAAACTACGGGTTCATTTCTCATCCCATTGTAGCGAATCGAAATCGTTTAGACGCGGCCATAGAACTCATTCAGAATAATAAGCTCGAATCGAACACACCTCTAGTCTGGAACCCTACTATGAGGAATTTTGTGCAACATCTCATCTTTAGTATAGCTACAGATAACCAACAAGTATCTGGAGACGACCAACTATATCATCTTCCAAAACGATCTTTGGAGATACCGAAACAGTTTATGCAGCATTTCCAGCTCTCGAACAAGAGATCTAGGGCTGAAGAAAAACAGAAGGTGTGGAAGCAGGCTGTTACCAATACTGTGTCTCTAAATGAACTGTTTGATACTGTTATAGAAGACATTCAATTCGACAGTGCGGATCCTGTAAAGTCACTCAATGAGTTGGCCGGCAGGTATAAGTCGAATACGGATCAAGTAACTCCCCCACTCCATCACAATTGGACCCAATTCAGAACAGGACCCGATCAATATTTCATCTGTTTGTCTAGATGAAGAGAATAATCAGCCAGTTTGGGGACGTCATTGTTGAGGATATGCTCGTATGTCGTGGGGCAAATTTCCCCAAATTTATTTCGGCATTCTCATCAATCGGTCACCAAGAGAACAGTGCTGTGGCAGATGAGTATAACTCGGTATTGGAACAAATTGTATCAGTCGTGAAGCTTAATCGGAATGTATTCTCTGACATCGAGTCTGAAATAACGAACGAGCTATTCATTATCAATGACCACATGCCGGAAGAAAAAATTGTGCAGTAAGAATTCTACCTCCTCATATAGCTGAACTTTTTTAGACTCATAAAGGAACTCAAGACGGCTCCAAAGGAGCTGGTTACACTACCAACTCAGTCTACTCAGGAAGTGCAAAGCGGGGAACCTGTATTTGAAGATGACGAATTCGACGATCTGGAGTAGTTGGCAGACAATTTGGAATAACTGTGCTAAAGTCGCAGTGGTCCCTCCCAACGGAAACCTCTACCCACCCCCCTTTAGATGGGCGACCTAGAGGGCGAATTTCTGAGCTGGCATCTGTTGGGTAAAAAAACGCGTTTTTGAACTAAATTCGAACACACGTGTTCGTTCCATATAACATTGCCCCAGACAACGCGACTCAACCCCAGCGCATGGTAGCAAGTGTCAGCAGGTCCACTCCACGAACAATCCATGGCAGCATGCGTTGCTCCAACGATTGGTGATGCAAAGGGTATTGAACTGCTAGGGAGTCGGACCACACGTCACCAACCCATCCGACTGCCTTAGCCGCAACCGAACCGTCTTCTCGGAACCAGATGCTCTCGGGCTTTCGGGCATCCATAGGTGACAGGGCTTCTTTGGCCATCCGCCGGGAGAAACGCCCGCATCGCGAGAACAGCGAGAATGCGAGCTCCTCAAGGAGCTCTTGGAAAATCGGCTCGGCTGGGCTGCCCAGAGCCTCCCGCATGTGTTTGTTGGCCTCTGCCAGCACGGACGTACCGAACTCCACAGCCTGCCGGTACGTGGATGTTCCCCACAGGATTTGAGCAGCATTACAGTTCTTCACGATGTTAAAGTTGTAAAGCGACTCTTTTGATGGCACACAGGGCACAGCCACCCGCACCTTGACCCTTCCCTCCCCTTCCGTCGGCTCTAACTCAATATCCAAAGCACCGAGGCAGGCGGTATTCCCTACCATCATTTTGCCGTTGTTGACAGCTATCAGGGCAGCCGTCAGAGCATCAGTCGTGCTCAAACTTCGCAGTCCTGAACGCACAAGCCGGACCATTTTTTTTGGGTCGAGCATAGTGCTGCGCAATCAGGAGCACGCACCCTGTAAGGATGCAGGTTGGCAGTCTAAGACCATCGTTAAATTGATCGCCGAGTTGAGGTGTGAAACAAAAATTGCCTAATACAGCGGCCAGGCTGTGAGTGCGGTAGGGCGAGCGCAGAGGCTTATTTACTGCCGCCGATTGTTCCATGCGAGGGAACGGGAAGTGTCACAGGAGGAGGGAAGCGCGGTCACGGCTTCTTGGATGAAGTGTTCTTTTTCGTCGAGTTCAAGGATAGCGTAGTTGAATTTTGCGTCGGGAACGTTCGGCAGAATCGACGCAAACCGGGAGCCGGGGCCATGAGCAGCCCAGTATCTTGGGCAGAGTCGTTGTACAAACCAGCACGTGTCCGGATCGTCCATCGAACAGCCGGAAGCGACCAAATAGTTTTCGATTGTGGTCATGGTGTCTTCACATTCTTGAGTCCAAAACACGTTTCTGTAGGGTCGTTTGGAGAACTGTTTATTGTGTGGCCCGCAGTGCTTACTCCGAACGATTGGGTGGTACGGCAGAGTGTGCTCTGGAGCCATAGTGGGCGCACTGGGTGCTGCAACCACATCGAGTTCTGCAGCCATGGGTGCTACGTTACTATTGGGGGTCGTGTAGGCACTGGGGGTCATGTACGCATTGGCGGTCATCACCACGGCCACGGCCACGGCCGCTTTCAGTAAAGTCTTTTTGGAGCAGAGTTGCGCAAGTGATTCGGACCAGGACTGGCTCGAACTCTCCGTAGCGTCCATCCAGCCGTCAGGCCGCCAATTATCGGTCTTCACAATTCTCCAAGAATCAGACACACGCGGCAGATTACCAGATGCCTTACAGGTGACCAAAGGTAGTGCGGCTGCAGCTGCCATATTTTGAGCAACGTTGCCCCACTGCGCAAATAATGTCATTCCCAAGTCTTGTAGCACCTGCTGGCACCTCTCATGCTGATCTGCCGCCCTTATACTCCCGCCTGCACCCGTAACGAGCTGTGTCCAAGCCTCTCCCAAAATCGACGCTCCAAACTCCAGCGCTTTAACATCCGGAATCGATCCGCGCATAATCTGGAGGGAGCTGCAGTGCTCTGCGAAGCTAAACTTATCCAGATCGTATTCGAAAGGTGCGCAAGGAACAGCAACTTTGACCTTCAGATTTTCCTCTGTCTTGCCGCCCAGAGGCTCCACCTCCACGCACAACGTACCATGGGCCGCTGTGTTAGCCAAAGCTGGCTTTCCATCAAGAAATACCGTCAGAGCAGCGACGAGAGCCGTCTTAGTCGAGCTCGATCGTTTTGGACATACAAGCATTGTTACCACCTTCCAATGAGCCGCGGGCAAAAAATATTGTCCCGAGAGGGATAAATAATTCTCCCGTTCCTGGGATTTTAAACCCCCGACTGGCTCTCTGAAGTTGGTCAAGGTGTCTTGTAGCAAGGTCAAACGGTCAACGTCTGACGGTAACGGGGCTTCATGATTTAGAGATGAATGGGAACTTGGGCTGGTTGCTGGGTTCGGTCGATTGTCACGCCGGGGTTAGCAAGCGGGGTTAGCAAGGGCGGCAAGGAAGCCAGTAAGGGTAGAAGAGATTGAGTTAAGGTTATTGTTCATGACAGCGAGTAGCGACGACAATAGAACGACATGGTTTCTCATTTACTTCAAAACTCTCTTTCCTATATAAAAATAACGGAAATATGTTGTTGATCCTTATGAGACGTTTTGAAGAGTACTTCATGAGACCATGTGTGGTAATCCGAAAGCCGTTAGGAGACACACGGGTGACACGATGACCATTTTGAAACGATCTTCTCAGAGCTATCCGTCGTGACAGCGTTTCGGTAGACTTCCCTATGATTCAGTGCTACTAGAACTAGGTCGTTGGGTTCGACTTTGTCTCCTTTTGCAGTACCTGGTTACATGAATAGTCGTACAGAGCAGTTAAGTTGCCGAATATTGCCAGTCGTTTAAGGCAACGAGGCGGTTTGACGGATTCTTGCCTAGAAGCCGGTAGTCTTGAGCATAAGGTAAGACAGGATCGCGACCGTGAGTCAGATATGCGGGAGAGTGTCCACTGGACGAATGAATGGTAGCTGAAAAGGGCGAGGGCTAGTGCATCGGGAAGATCGAATGTTAGATTACGTAGATATAGAATTTGAGCTTTATTGAGGTTCCGGTAGTCGATGCACATACGCCAGTCACCAGTCTTCTTTCACACCATGACTATTTCAGAGGCGTACAGGCTAGCTAAAGGTCGGATGACATCATGTCTATCTCGTCCTTGATGGACTGGTCTTGTTCAGCCGTGAGTGTTCTTGGGTAGCTCACTATAGGTTTTGATGCAGTTAGTAAAATTTCATATCAAAACAGTGGAGACAGACTCCACGCCTTCTGTCCTTACATAACACTGAATATTTGTAGAGCATCTCGGGTTTCTTCATCAGTAATATGCTTCATGGCATCAGAGAGTTCTTCATCAAGTACGGGAGGTAGAGTGGTCGTGCAAATGGCAGGGGGGCAGTTTGTGGATACATTCGGGCGAAACCAGGGCGAAACCAGCACGGTTAGGGAAGGTAAGTTGTCGGAAATTACATGTAGCAGCGGAGGAACGGTAAACTAAGAGCGTTGGCGGAACGTCTTCAACAACGGCGAAAGTAGCGAACTGTTATGAACCATTTTCGAGAATCAGGAGTGCGTTAATCCAAGTTTTAGTAGTACCATTAACACCTTGGAAACACGTGTGTGCGGCAGGAATCGCTCTGTAATCGAACAGTAGTTCTTTCGTTATCACATTTATCTGGGCTCCGGAATCAACCATTCCCACAAATTCATGACCATTGTTCATGAATGCAACGAATATATGGTTGCAGGCATACAGGTAAGACTTTGAAGGTAGTGTGATTTCACAAACATGTGGAATTAGTAGGAGCAGCTTAGGATTAACTTCGAAAACAACATCGTTGTAGTCTTTCAAATTCGAAAGCTAACAGTAGGGTCGTCACGCGGGGAGAGCGTCTCAGAAGCCTGGGTAGGATTAGGGGGACTTTCGGGTTCAGTAACCATAACGTCAGGATCACCGTATGGTGGCCACGAGCAACAGTACGAGTCGGCGGGGGCAGCACCGAGCACGCACCCCCGGTCCCGGGCCTTGAGCAATTCAGCTCAGTGCGCGAGACATTACGGCTGAGATTGTCACTGCGCAATGAAGTCTTGACGATTTTGGTTTGCGATGAAGTCTTGACGAGCGGGTGCTTCTGTGGAAGACAGCGGGTTGTTAGAGAAGGTCACAGCTCGGTAGACCGGTGGATGTGATTGAGACCTTCGGGTCGATTGAGGGCTGGTACCCATCGAGCGCATTGGTGGAGTCCGGTTTGAGGTATCTTCAGAAATTCCCGGATCTGGTAGTGGGTTTACCGGCCGAGGAGCTCGTGACCCTATCCACTGAGGAGCTGGCGGCGTTCCAAGATGAATATAGGGCCAATGCGAGTGTGGTTTCGTTCACTCGTCTATTGGTGGGGGAGTGTCTGCATGCGATCGCCCAAGTGGATGAAGAACACCCAGAGACGTGCGGGATTGATGAGGAGTTTGGAGAGAAGGTCCGACTGTGGGCGGATGATTATTCGCACATTATGGGGCCGCTCGCCTTGAAGTTTCCTCCGAGGCCACTCGAATTCAAGGCCTGAAGTTCGTTCTGGTGTACATGTGCCGAAGGCGGGGCTTCAGCGTACCAACATTACAGCAGTGCAATCCAGACATGGTTCCTGCAGACCCGCGGCACGAAGTAAGAGCCGGTCTAGATGGAGGAGAAGATATGCGAATTGACCCAGACACAGGTATGTTTCTTGAAGTTGCGAGGCCGTGGGAGGAGTACAAGCCACTTGTTTCTACTGTAACAAGCTTCACCACTTTAAGAAGGCTTGTCTCTCGTTCCAACATGATGCTGCGTCTGGGAGGTACGTTAACAGACGAACCACTGGTGGCTACCCCTACTATCTTGGTGATAACTCTGTTGGAGAGCAAGACACTCGATCTTCGAGGCGATACAAGTAGGAGAGAGAAGGAGCGAACCACAAGGAGCACCGAAAAGTGGAGACTGAGAGTGGAGGTGAACGACGGATACAGAAGAGACAGCTACATTTAGTGGATGGCAGAGATGCTCGTAGAGATGAAGTACACATCAGTCGAAGTCAAGGTAAAGAGACTGAGGCGAGAAGACAGAGCGATGCTGGAGAGGATGATAGAAAAGGAACAGGAGACAAGAGTGAGTATAAGCCATGTAACAGAACCAGAAACGATCAGAGACATACATGGGCTGAAGGAGAACATTGTAGAGCTGGATATCTCGTGGGATAAAAACCGAAGCGACTCAGACTGGAAAACAATAGGAGAGATGACGGGTCTTGAGAGGCTGAACATAGAATCTTGTAACATGCAAGAAGAGCAGTGCTCGAGACATCTTGGAAGGCTGAAGTGTCGCATAGAAAGATAGAGAACCAGAAGAGCCTACAAATCACGTGAAGGGAGATGCCAGACATCTAGAGTATGTGAGTCCAGCATAACAACACAATGTAAGGGCCACCTACACAATCAACAGTCAATACACAATCAACAGTCAATACACCAAGTCGCTCTGAATGGTGCAGGGAAAGGCAAGAGATGTGCACGGGTTGAGAAGCAACAAGAGAGGCATGTTCAACAAGGAGATACGAATAAAGCAGTTACCGTTGATACTGTGCAACTGTGTTTGTTTTTTTGGCGTGGTTTTTGGAATGGGGAGACCAAACACGTATGAATAAATCTGTTAGTAAAGAGCTGCCAATGCATCGTATGGTTTCTATGGATCGAAAATCCATCCCACCAGTCCTCGTGCCATGCACACACCCGATCTTTCTACGTAACCACCCAGACTGAAGAAGACACACTCCACCGTGTCGATGAACATCACTGAGTGTCTCTGATCTGCATATCACAATGTGCGCAGATCAAGAGAACAGCGGTGGGAAGCCGAGTAGCCTGATTCGTGGGCACCACTCGAATGGCAACCAACGGCGAGAGTACAAGGCAGAGAGTGTTCTGCACACGTTTTGTAGGGAGCTCGCTTTTCTTGACATACTCCTCCAATTCAATTGGTTCTAAAGGTCCTCCTTTTTTTTTTTGGAACAGCTTGATTAAAATTGCCTTGTAGGGTATCTTCCTAAAGCGTCCCGGGCAGTTGCTGCCTACCATGTGCTTCACGCCTTGGTTCGCGGGCCCTAGAAACACAATCATTCATGAGTTTAGTGAGCATGGATAGTGGCGAGGACTTATTCTTTCACAGGGCAAGTAGCGCAGGGCTCATAGAGAAACAGCCTATAGTGCCAAGGAAATACATGATTCAGAAAGTGTATTAAAAAAGGTCTGTTCGTTATACCCAGAAGCTCATTGTACTGCAGCAGCAGAGATTTACGTTTGCAGTGGACCTTCACATTGCATGAGCGTTTGCAAGTCTCTGTGGCCGTTTTCAGGCAGTGGCCGTTTTCAGGCACATGCTGCCAAGGGCAAGAAGGCAGTGCTTATGATGAACGAGGCCAACATCAACATCAAAATCGACAGTGATTATCTGATGTGAGTATTCGAAAGCATGAGCAAGCAGACAAAGAGAAGGAGCGAGGGCACTACAGACGCACACTACCATTGACATGGACAGTGCGCGGCGGGGGCATGGCGGGAGAGATCCGGTGGGAAGACAGGCACGTCTTAAGGGATCAAGTAAATTGGAAGAAGAGCAAGTTTCAAGTAAGAGTTGAACGGGGAAGATATGGAAGGAATAGGTAGAATTGGGAGTCATAGAGGGCACGTCAAGAAAAGTGCAGGAAACCCCCAGGAAGTCATGAAGAAAAAGTGCAGGAAGATCAGGACGTATCGAAGAACATGAGGCAGAACAAAGAAGACAAGAGAGCAGATACATTAGAAAGGCAGTACGTTATACCTAAAAGCTCATAGTAGAACAGCGAGGAGGAGACGAGAGGAAAGGCAGACGAAAAGATGTAGGGAGTAAAGAGCATCACAGCTGCACATCACAGCGGCACAAGGCAAAACGAAAGGAAGGGTAGAGGGCAGAGAAGCGCCAAATAATGATTTTATTACGAAGGGCGAGTTGTTCGTAGAAGCGAATAGACGGGCACATAGAAAGGGCAAAATGATAAGGCCAGCGCTTTACGGGCTTGCTTGCGTGGCCAGAAGCAGGAGGGATGCTTACACACTCTTCAATAAGAATCTTCGGACAAGAACATAAAGGGAGGGCCGGGACAGGCACACGTTCTGCGGCTTTGTGTGCTACAGTCATGAAGTTGTTGTTTCTTCATGCAAAACATCAAACAGAAAGAATTTAAGGAAAAGGAGCCTAGCTCGTCTGAATCTGCGCCCGCTTCTCACAACCAATAAAGCTAACCATCGTCGTCCTCGACACTTGTATTCACAAGGCTTTCAATTCGTTTGATTGCAATTTCTTCGTTTATTTCTAGCTCCTTCAGAACGTCTTCTGTGAGCCCCTGTGTCTCCACAAGCTTTTGGAGCCTTAAGTCGTCATCCACCTTCCACTTTCTCGGCATGCCCTGGAGCCGCTTTACAGTTGGAATCACCTTCAGGCGGATGAACCTGTCAAAAAGCACAATTCTGTCGTACATGAGAAGCTCGTTGTCGTTCTCCCGCTTTCTCCTGCTTTTCTTAACACAGATCTTGCTGACGAGGCTCCTCATCTCCTCCAACTTCTCCTTTCCAAGGAGCTCAGTCAGCCTCGCAACATTCTTTTCTGAGACACGTCCAAACGACAGAATGGCCGATATCAGAGCAGGGTCCTCTGTGTTTAACGCGTTTCCACCGTCTTCGTGCCGAATGATCTTTGTGCGCCGTTCCAAACTCTGGTCTGTGTCCTCCTCGCGGAACCTCCTAGACGCCGCGCGGGTCTCCATCAGCACACCATATGCGCCCTTCTGCAGAAGAATCTCCAGTGCGTCCTTCTTGCTCATTTTGTGGTCCTTCTTGTCGTAGCTCACTACAGAATCGAAGATTATGACTGTCCGCAGGTTTGTTCCAACACCTCCCGCCTTGGTGCAGAGCAAAACACAAATACGTCGATAATCTGTCGTCCTTCCTCTCACTGCACCGTCGATTCTGTCGTGGTTGTATGTCCTGAAACTGAGGTAGTCGGAAAGAAGGTCCAGGCACCGCGTCATCTGCGAGAAAATAAGCACCTGGTTGTCCTTCAGCTTCTGCAGGAGCTTGTCTAGCTTTCCGCTGCTCTGTATCAGTATCTTGTAACAGCGCAACATGGGCAACGAGACGGCCCCTGCTTGCACCTCCTGCACACCGGTGGGGCCGCTATGCACTTGCCTTTCTTTTCTGGTGGTCGCTGGTGATCGACTCCTCGGCGCCCTTGATAAGGCACGGGTGTACGCAGCACTTCCGCAGCTCCATCATCGCATTGAGGAGGTTGGGCGCAACTTCGCTCCCGCCCTTCTTGAGAAACTCCAGGTTCTTTCCAAAAATATCTCTGTAGTACCTCTTCTGTATCATGGTCAACTCAACCTCGATGATTGATGGTCTCCTCCTTCAGCGGAATGCTCCTTTCCACGTCCTCCTTCATTCTCCGAAGCATCAGCGGCCGCAGCACGTTCTGGAGGCGCTCCACGTCCTCCGTCTTCTCAAGCTTGAGTTCCTCCAAAAAAGTTTTGCAGCGAGCTGAACTGCACAGGGCTTATGAAGTTCAGAAGAGACCACAGCTCGTTAAGGTTATTCTGCAAAGGGTCCGCTCAGAAGCACCTTGTGCTCAAAGTTCAGGCTCTTTACTGCGGAGATCGCCTTCCCGAATGGAATGACGTTGAACTCGAATAGCCCGATCGGGGTTATGAATGCCGTCAACGGCTTACTCCCCTCCTTCATCGGGACATTCCGGAACCCACTGGTCATATCCAACGTGCAGTAGTACTTCGTTTCGGCTGCACACTGTAGCTGAGCCCACATGCGCGGTAGTGGATCGACGCATTCAGCCGCCTGTAGTCTATAACGCGCCTCCATTCCCTGTTCTCTTCTTGACTAAGTGTGGAGCCGCGGCCCCCTCACTCTTCGAAGGTCTTATGACTCCTATCTCGAGCTGCATTTTAACGTGCTTCCCGAGTTCGTCACGCCTGTCGTACTCTTGAACGGTCTGCCATGGACTGCGCACTTGACTGTCGCAACGAAGGGCCCATCCTAGGTGTCGCGATATCGTTCCTGCAACCTCCACAGATTCCACCGGCTTTGTGGCGCCATGTGCCTGGTTTCTGCCTCGATGATTTTCCGGTACCGTGCCCCAGCTCTTCCAAGTAGCCTCTTTTCGCGCAGACGACGTGCACGAGCAGCTCGACGTCTGGCGTGCCCAGCACGTTGGAGACTCCAGACCGGTACATCACTGCGAAGCTGGTCCGTTTCGTATTTATTGCTCCCAATGGTCGTCGTCGCCAGCACAGTGAGGGTGCGGGCGACCCTGTCTCCTGAGAGCGGTATCCCTGCCCGTTTCCTGTCCGCTTCCTGGAACAGGCTCATGTCGACTCCGGTGTCCACTAGGAAGTCTGCTCCACCAGGGCTCTCACGCAAAAGGGGGTCGTCGGCCAGTCCCTTCTCTGCTGGGGCCAGCATACGCCTCCATGGCATAGGTCGACGTCGGAAAGAGAAGACGCGCTATGTCCGAAATCAACTGTTCCACGGGTACGCCGGGACCTCAGTCTACCTTTGCGAGGTGTCGCTTCGCAGGAGGTATTTGCGCCCAAAGCACCTCTATCATACTCTCTTCGTCGATTTTGTGGGCCGCGCGATTGACGAAGCCCACCAGTTCGTCGACCCAGTCTTCGAAGTGCTGCTCATTGTTGGCGACAAGGTAGCCTTTTGCGATGCAGTCATCCTTTGCGGACTGTTTGCGATAACCCTCGAAAAATGACAACCAATTGAAGAGACCTTTCTGTTCCGAGCCGTGGATTGGAACAGTAGTCCGGGCCGCCATATCGGATGAATAAAACGTGGGTAACCTCCCCAGTCTCGTCATCACTGCCTCTTTCTGGTGCCACTGAGTTGATTGTGACCCGAACAAAAGGGGTGCCAAGGTGTAGAGAGTTCATGCCACACAAAAATAACAAAAAAACGACCACCTCACAAGTCCTTGTCTTTACAATCCCATGTCCAGATATTTGTTTGTGAGCCAGTTGCCGACGAGGATTGTTGCGTCGGAGATCAGTGTTGCCACGGCAAGGCCACGGCCGATGAGGATGGCAGGGTCTGGTGTCCACAAAGGGTGTCCTCGTTGAACGGGTTCCAAGTCGGACCAGGAATTAATGCGAAGCGGTGCAATTTGGACAGCATCCCACCGACCGGTTTGAAAGGTATCCTCCTGTGGATCCGTCCAGAATTTCTGAGCGTCCGTTGCCATTTGTTGTGAAAAAGGACCGCATTGTGAAAAGAGGACTTTGGACAATCGCTCAATACCAGTGTCTATGATGGCAAACTCTGTTGCTGTGAGAGAATCCACATCCGTCTTATTCAGAACTCTAAGCATCTGTCTCTGTGCCAACATGAGTACACACCTCCCGAAAGATACCACATGCTCGGAATAAGATTTCGATCTCCAGATTAGTCTCATTGCTACGCCGTCTCTCAACAAATTGAAGCGGTTAGGTACCTTACGGAACGGTGTCGCTACTTCGATCCTGAACGGCTCAAAATCGCTTCCCTCTCGCTTCACATCAAATTGTAACGTCTGACAATTGGCTGTACTTGACAGCACGAACTCCCCTGCTTCGAAACTTGTTAGAATAGCCGTCCACACTGCTGCAATCGCACCTTGCCGTCTTGAACTAACGACCCTGATAAATACCATTTCGTCCCCGACACCGAGAATTATTTGCCCCCGATTGCGCCGACACAAACGGCACCGAGGTCAGCTGTACTGGCCAGCTGTACTGGCCAATATCGGCTATCCGTCAAAGAAAACCGTCAAGGCAGCGGAGAAAAACGTCCCTTTCGAATTTGAACGTTCTGAACATACAAACTTGGGGGTCGCCATTTCTGCCACACGAGTCGCTCAACGTCTGTTCACACTCTTGTGTCTACACTCCAGTGGTGACACTGCTTCTCCTTTGCACCCCCACTCGAGGTCGTTGCGATCCGGCCTGGTGCCTCTCCACTGACGTCCTACGATGCAACATCAATCAACACATTTCCTTTTTGGGGGGATAAAGGAGTAGGCCTCGGGCCTAAAACTGGAGTTGGGAGCCCCTTTTGAGCCGCTGGGCAGAATTGGGGCGCACGAAAAGTGTGTGCACAAACACGCGCACGATCTTTTCGAGAGAGGGTAGAGACCACAAAAACCGCACTTCGCGCACTGGTCAAGACCGCCTACTACTGTGTTGCCATGACTGTGACCGCCTATGCCCTGATCGCGTTGTTCTGCGAGTGTGCTCCGAGCCTGCTGACCAACGTCCACTCGGCTATGCCTTTTACCCTACGCATTAATACCTTCCGAGTCTCTGTTCCTCTATACCTCGCTAGCATAAACGTCGTATCTTTGGATATCTGATACCGTCTTAAACCCTTCTCCTCTACCACATAGGCCGCGGTGCTCTTGCTCTACCCACGTCAGCGCACCAGTGCCCATACGACCCACAAGTTTTATGGCTTACAATAGTTATGTGCCACAGCGTCACAAACCGACCATGGTCATGCCCAAAGATCATGAGGCCAATGGAGGCAATGGCGCGTCCATTCAGACGCTCGTGCTGTTGACGTACTGCACGAGCAACCCTGCGACGAAGTTCACGCCCTACCGTGTGACGATAGGAGGCCACGAGCCGTGCAGCGAATTGGACGATCACATGACAGACCTGATCCAGGTTCTCGCTCGACTGTGCGACTGGTGGTCTCGCGAGTTACCTTGCGACGAGACGTGCTACGCGGCGCTGCAGCACTTGCCTCCGTCGATACGACACGACGCCAACAAGTTGACGAGGGTCTAATGCATGCCGTCGCAGACTGGGCCTCACACGCTAGTAATGCCGCAAGCAAGCGGAGAAGGGAAACCACAAACCCGTACGGAAGCTGTGGGTGTCCCGTACCGCAAGATCGCACGGCAGTGCGGAAAGCTACGACTTTAAAAGTTGGCCGGGCTCTTCGGAGTCGTGGCTTTCCGCACTGCCGTGCGATTTTGCGGCATGTGAATGTTGATCGCTCCGGGCTTATTCCTTATTGCCACCTCGATTTTACCAGGTTGAAAGACAGTGACCATGAACGAGAAGCGCAAGTACAAGCGCCGGACAGCGGGACTTGAGAAAGGCAGTAGGCCCGTCAGTACCAGCGAGGGCTAGCGCTGGCTACCCGGACCGTCGTGCCGAGGCGCCCCCACACCTCGTTTCGAGTTCTTCCGGTGTGCCTGAACACGAACGGCACGTAGCCTGCACGATCAACGGTCACAGCGTGTTGGCCTTCCCGGACACAGGAGCAGATTACGCGCGGTGGGAGTTCTCGTGACTGCGCCAACCAGGTTAGAGATTGGTGACGATCAAGTAGACGTATGGTTCGCGTGTGTGGACGACACCATACCCATCCTGCTCGGCTTGGACCGGCTCGAGTGTGTGCAAACCTGCCCAGCACTTGTCTGACGAGCTGTTCGACAAGCTACAACATTCTTTGGCGTGGCAACTCTTTGTTGTGTCGGGTTAAGGGTGCTCAAAGCCGTGAATGTGATTCATGGCTCGTTGATGCTCTCTTGTTTGTGAGACCTTGTGCATGCTGAGTGAGACCTTGTGTAATGGCCTGTGCATGCTGAGTTGGGTCACAACGTTTTGACCGCCCGTCGCTTCATCCGTGTGACCGCCTCTGTATCTGCTAATACTACCGTAGTAAGTCTCCTGATGGATCTCTTCTGGTAGTGTTTCGATCAGTAACAAGGCGCTGTCCAAGGTTCTCTCGTTATCGATACGGCCAGCGGTAGCAGCCCTAACGCCAGTCTTAGCCCTCGCGTGCCAGTCCATATCTCCGCCCACGCATGAACGATCCGGTAGCTGTCGTCATTTGTCCCGTAAACTCGTTGATAGCCAACGCGCAGCATTTCTCTCCCTAAAAACCCACCACGTCCCCAGGGAAGGGTTGTTTTTGTAAGACAGAACACGGCTTCTTTACCCCAGCTTAGTATGGCATGTCTTCAGTAACACTCACATCCTCAACATTAATCACGCCGCTAGGGCAGGGAAGGAAGGGCAGGTGCCGAGCAAAGGACGACCGAGTAGGTAAGCGGTCTTGGGATAGGTGTGTGCGATGTCGGACTGAGCGAGAAGTGTCGAGGACTCTCGAGTGGGAGAACGGCAGCACTTCCCCTCCTTCGGCCGTTTTCATACAACGGGAACTCCACGACTAGTGCTCATCTTGTTGGCGGCCTCTGAGTAATTGGCGCTAGTTCGGGGCCCCGGGAGACTGTTCGACGTACATAAGGCAAACGGCCGGGTGGGACTGAGTCGTGTAAATACTCAGCCACACACCTGAGGAGACCTTTCCCTGGCGACACAACGGCCGCGCAACCAAGATAGCGCCGAATAACTCCAACTTCCTCGCTCATCATCATCCTTCAAGCCATCCCGGCATCGTCGTCATGGACCAGCCTTCAGTCAGTCGCGCGCCCTCTCCTCATCGACAGCCAGCGATCTTTGTGCTGATAGCGGCCGTTGCAGCGAAGGCGGCCGATGCTCTCCGGCTTGTTGCTCTCTTGTACTCGCGGTCGTCGGTCTCGCGATTGTTATTGTCACCAGTTCGCTTCGAAGAAACATCACCGTTGTGGAAGTATAGCTCAGGGCCGGTAAGAGAGGGGGGCCGCCGCACCCAGGATGACTGCGCCACCTACCTCGAAAAGTTGCAGGCAAAAATGCTCCTGGACAGTGCGACTAGAAAGCTTATATAGACACACCACATGGCGGGGATTTCTTTCCCAAAGCGAAGCCACTAGGGTTATCGAATTCATCCGTAAGAAGGATCACGTGGTCTAACTTCCTCGGGAGTATGTCGCTGTCGACAACAGCATTGTTCGTGAGATCGATAAGTTTCATTGGGATGGGGCCAATGTGAGGCTGCAGGACGCCGTGGCCTGCCCAGAACCTCTCACAAAGCTTAGCAAACAGCTTGCATGTGTCCCCTCCACATTGGGGTGACGTCAAGCGGCGTTCGACGTAGGCCAATCCATCCTCGCACTGTTGAGTCCATAACCCGTTCTCTGTCGGGCGGAAGAACGACAGGCCACACCCGTCGTCTCCGGGAATTATCGCCGATGTCTGTGACTCAGTATTAACCATGGATTGAGACTGAAACTCAGACATGGACTCAGACATCGACTCAGTCATGGACTCAGACATCGACTCAGATATCGACACAGGCATGGACTCAGACATCGACACAGGCATGGACTCAGACATCAACTGGGGTATCACAAATGCGGCTGCGGTACCCGCGGCAAAGCCCAATACGGCTGCCCAAAGTGTCTTGTTCGAACAGAGTTCACGCAGCGACTTGGCCCACGATCGCGTCGGAATCTTTTTCTCGGACCAGATGTCAGCGATCCAATCATCCGCTTTTACAACCACCCAGGCATCTACCCATCGAGGCTGGTACGATGCACGATCACATATGAACAAAGGTAACGAGGCTGCTGTAGTCATTTTTTCGGGGGTCAAATATCCAGCATCACGCCCCCATTCCGAGAACAGACTGGCCCCAAGTTCAAGCAAAACTTTCTTGCGAGCCCTGTATTGTTTTGAGCTTACCAAACCCTCGCGGATCCGCCTCCAGACCTCACCGAGTAGAGACATACCAAACTCCAGAGCTCGGAGGTCAGAGCATGACTCGCGCACTATTTGAGCGGCGTTACAGTCGTCCGCCATGTTAAATTTCTTCAAGTCATCTGCTGACGGCAAGCAAGGCACGGCAACATTCACCTTTAATGCTGCCTCCTCCGCTCTCGGTTGTCGAGGCTCCAGCTCGATACAAAGTCTACCGAGGCCGGCTGTGTTGGCTAAGGCGAGCTTTCCCTCAAAGAATGTTGTTAACGCGGCGGTCATGACTATCTCTTTCGAGCTTGGTCGTCCTGAACTTACAATCATGCCGACCATTTTACGTCGAAAATTCCCCGCCAGCAACGCGGTGGCTATCTTCCGGCATGCAAGCGAGACCCGAACCCTGAGACCCGAACCCTGAGACCAGAGCCACGGGGACCAGAGCCACGGGGACCAGAGCCACGGGGACAGAGAAGGAAGGAAAGAAGGTAGGTATAACGGGCGACAATGAGAAAGGAAGGAATAACCTGCGATGAATATGAGGGACTGGAATAATTTGTTGCATGGTCTGTCTAGGTATCACTATTTGAGCCGTCGTAGGCCTCCGTGGGACGCCAACCGAGGGTAAATAAAAAGGGTTTTGACAGCTAGTCATCGGACATGACTAGCAGTGAGCGCCCGATGCCAGTAACGACGCACCTCGACGACGACGGGAACAATCACTCCCAGGGGTCCCCGGCTGCCGGGCCGACACTCCCATATCAGCACACTATTACTTCTGTTTGGACTACTACTATGACCAAATTCCATGTTCTAACCCCGCATCCCGGCAAACGAAATGGTTATTTCATACCCAAAAAGGTGAGCGTCTTGTCTCGGCGTGTTCCCGGAAATTATTTGCCGGGAATTACAAATCATCTTCTCCCTTTTTGTAAACTCTTGGTTACTGTTCGACTGCGGTGCGGGGTCTGTGTTGTGGTCCACACCAACGACGTTACCTTCTTTTTCGCCTCCTGCTTTTAACCTTTACGGGCGGTGCCCCTGCCAGCCACGTTAAGGCGTTTACTACAGACATCACGGGGTCATTACACAAATTCAGCAGACAAACCTCCAGCAGACAAAGCCCCCAGAATCGAGTGAGTCTGACGAAACTTGAGTTCGCAAAAAAAGTTGTAAAAAGGCTGTGGAAACCTCCGATGCACGGAAGACCTTACTCGGCACACGACGGTGGCACCCCCTGCACGGCCACTTTGGCGAAGTTGCCTTGTTCATCGGTTTCGACGAACACGTGGTGGAGGTCCCCTACCTTGGAAATTCCCGGGACAGCTTTCTCCCAGACAGAAGCCTTCCTGCCATTTGCCGCCCAGAATCGTTTACAAAGAGACACAAGAAAGGTGCAGGTGCTGTGGGCATCGGTGCGACAGCCGTTTCTGGCCAACATGTTTTCAATTATCACAGTGCTATCTTCACAAGTTTGTGTGAAAGCTCTGTCACTCGGGCGCACAAAGTATTGAACGTAATTCGGTCCACAATGTTTACTTCGAAGTCTCCTTGGAGTCGGACCAACTGTCCGCCACTAAATCGTCGGCTTTTGTAACTCCCCAGGTATCTTCCACTCGGGGTAATGTGAATGGGTCATCGCAAGCTAGTAAAGGCATCGCGGCCAGACCGGACATATCTTCCGCATCATCGCCCCATTCTGAGAACATACTAGCACCCAGATCCTCCAGAACTTTTTGACAAGCCTCCTGCTGCTCTATCATTGCCGGACCCAAGTTCTCACACATCTGACGGCAAACCTCTCCGAGCAGAGATGCACCAAATTCAATCGCTCCACGATCTGAGGACGACGGTCCGCGCACTATTTGGATTGCATTGCAGTCCTCAATGATGTTAAAATTCTTCAAGTCGGACGGTACGCAAGGTACGGCAACTTTCACCTTAAGTGGCTTCATCTTAAGTGGTGTCTTCTCTGATTTAGGCAGTAACTCAACGTGAAGAGCACAATGACCGGCTGTATTAGCTAAGGCTGGCCTTCCGTTGTGGAACACTGTAAGGGCAGCTACAAGAGCTGTCCCACTTGAACTCGAGCGACTTGGGCTTACAAACATCTTCTCGGACTCACAAACCAAACCACAAACTTTTTCCTAAATTTTTTTTTTTTCCCGAATGGTATAGGACACAACATAATAAACCTTCAGACCCGTATCCGCCCCAGTTTCGCGTCTGCAGATCAGTCAGTCATCACGAATACAGCCCCCATCAACGCGCGCTCTCTTCTACGGCTCCTGACGCACACGAATCGACTGACTAGAAATCATCTCTTTGTTGTTTGTTATTGTCATTCGTGACACAGGCCATCAAACGACTGCGGTACCTTGCCTTCTTTTTCACTTCCTGCTTTTACCCCCTTCACGGTTTACTACGGCTGCGTCAACACCGCAGAGTCATTACAAAATCCAGCAGACCATTTTACGTCTAAAATTCCCCGCCAGCAACGCGGTGGCTATCTTCCGGCATGCAAGCGAGACCCGAACCCTGAGACCAGAGTCACGGGGGCCAGAGTCACAAGACAGAGAAGGAAGGAAAGAAGGTAGGTATAACGGGCGACAATGAGAAAGGAAGGAATAACATGCGACGAATAGGACGGACTGGAATAATTTGTTGCATGGTCTGTCTAGGTATCACTATTACTTCTGTTTGGACTACTACTATGACCAAATTCCATGTTCTAACCCCGCATCCCGGTAAACGAAAATGGTTATGTCATACCCAAAAAGGTGAGCGTCTTGTCTCGGCGTGTTCCCGGAAATTATTTGCCGGGAATTACAAATCATCTTCTCCCTTTTTGTAAACTCTTGGTTACTGTTCGACTGCGGTGCGGGGTCTGTTCGACACCGCACTGTTGTGGTCCATACCAACGGCGTTTTTCGCCTCCTGCTTTTAACCTTTACGGGCGGTGCCCTACTACAGCTACTTCAACATCACGGGGTCATTACACAAATTCAGCAGACAAACCTCCAGCAGACAAAACCCCCAGAATCGCGTAAGTCTGACGAAACTTGAGTTCGCAAAAAAAGGTAAAAAGCTTGTGGAAATCTCCAGCGCATGGAAGACCTTACTGCATACACGATGGTGGCACCCCATTCACGGCCACTTGGGCGAAGTTACCTTGTTCATCGGTTTCGATGAACACGTGGTTGAAATCCCCTGCCTTGGAAATTCCCGGGACAGCTTTCTCCCAGACAGAAGCCGTCCTGCCATTTGCCGCCCAGAATCGGTTACAAAGAGGCACAAGAAAGGCGCAGGTGCTCCGGGCATCGGCGCGACAGCCGTTTTTGGCCAACAGGTTTTCAAGTAGCACAGTGCTGTCTTCACAAATTTGTGTGAAAGCTCTGTCGCTCGGGCGCGCAAAGTATTGAACGTAATTCGGTCCACAATATTTACTCGGAACTATCGATTCTGGTTGTGGCGTTGAGGGCGGCGGAACTATCGATTCTGGTTGTGGCGTTGAGAGCGGAGACATTCTCGGAACTATCGATTCTGGTTGTGGCGTTGAGAATGCAGACCTGGCCATTACAAGAGTCAATGCCGTTCCAAATGCCAATCCCAGCACGATCTTGTTCTTACCGAGTGCGCACAACAATTCAGACCACGATCGCGTCGAAGGCTCCGCAGAGTCGGACCAACTGTCGGCCACTAAATCGTCGGCTTTTACAACTGCCCAGGCATCCTCCACTCGGGGTAATGTGAATGGGTCATCGTAAGTGAATAAAGGTATCTCGGCCGCTGCGGACATATCTTCAGCACGATCGCCCCATTCTGAGAACATACTAGCACCCAGAGCCTGCAAAACTTTTTGACAAGCCTCGTGCTGCTCTCTTGTTATCATTGCCGGACCCATGCCCTCACAGATCTGATGCCAAACCTCTCCGAGCAGAGACGCACCAAATTCAATCGCTCGACGATCTGAGGACGACGGTCCGCGCACTATTTGGATAGCATTGCAGTCCTCAACGATGTTAAAATTCTTCAAGTCGGACGGTACGCAAGGTACGGCAACTTTCACCTTAAGTGGCTTCATCTTGGATGCTTTCTCTGATCTAGGCAGTAACTCAACGTGAAGAGCACGGTGACCGGCTGTATTAGCTAATGCTGGCGTTCCGTTGTGGAACACTGTAAGGGCAGCTACAAGAGCCGTCCCACTTGAACTCGAGCGACTAGGGCTTATAAACATCTTCTCGGGCTCACAAACCAAACCACAAGCTTTTCCTACATTTTTTTTGCCCCGAACGGTATAGGACACAACACAATAAACCTTCAGCCAGCCAGCCTGCTGTCGTACGGAGAGCCCTCGACCCGAAACGGTCACCAGCCAGCCACCAATAATAAAACCGGCGGAACCCCTGGCTTATCAGCCATAGACAGCCGAGGCAGAGGGCCAGTCGCTATTTCTTGACATACATCCACCGACACTAGAAGTGTCCTCCTACAAAACTATTTACCGTTCCAGGGGGGCCATCGCGCACAAGCCTGCACCGATCACCCGCAACCTCTCCTCTTTAAGAGAACCACCACGGAGGCACCGGTCACTTGCTATTCCGGTGCGCCCGTAGCAACCATGGGCCTCTCGTCTGCCGTCGCTCACTCAGGGCTGGCTCACCCACGTACACCCAGACCGGCGAGCTATCCCCAACCCCATTTCACGTTGAAAAGATCAGGCAGGCTCCATACAACCTTTTTGCAGGCCTCACGCTGTCATCTTGTGGCCATGCCCGCACTCACAAGGATATTTTGCCAAGCCTCTCCGAATAAAGACACCGCGAACTGGAGAGCTACGCACCGTTTGAGACGGCGTTACAAACCCTCACGATTCCAAATTCCTCCAACTGTGACGGTACGCAAGGTACGGCAACTCGCAATTTGATTGTTTCTTCTTCTCCTCTGGCTGTATTGGCTAACACCGGCTTCCCACCGACGAATTCACGCCCCCCAGCACTCAAACGACTGCGGTGCGGGGTCTGTCTTGTGGTGGGTGATCCACACCAACTACGCTACCTTCTTTTTCGCTTACCCCCTCCACGGGCGGTCCCACCTGAGCCACGTTGAGTCGTTCACTACAGCTGCTTCAACACGGCAGAGTCATTACACAAATCCAGCAGACAAACCTCCAGCAGACAAAGCCCCCAGCAGACAAAACCCCCAGATCCCGTAAGTCTGACAAAACCTGAGTTTGCAAAAAAGTTGAAGAGGTAAAAAGCTTGTGGAAATCTCCGATGCATGGAGGACTTACCTGGTACACGACGGTGGCAGCTCACTCAAGGCCACTTTGTCGAAGTTGCCTTGTTCATCGGTTTCGATGAACACGTGGTTAAACCGCTCATGCTTGGAAATTCCCGGGACAGCTCTGTCCCAGATGGATTCCGTCCTGCCATTTGCCGCCCAGAATCGCTTACAAAGAGGCTCAAGAAAGGCGCAGGTGCTCTTGTGATCGCGGCGACAGCCGTTTTTGGCCAACCGGTTTTCAAGTAGCACAGTGCTATCTTCACAAATTTGTGTGAAAGCTCTGTCGCTCGGGCGCGCAAAGTATTGAACGTAATTCGGTCCACAATATTTACTCGGAACTATGGATTCTGGTTGTGGCGTTGAGAACGGAGACATGTTCATGACAAGAGCGAGTGCCGTTCCAAATGCCAATCCCAGCACCATCTTGTTCTTACCGAGTGCGCACAACAATTCAGACCACGATCGCGTCGAAGTTTGTGCAGAGTCGGACCAACTGTCGGCCACTAAATCCTTGGCTTTTACAACTGCCCAGGTGTCCTCCACTCGGGGTAATGTGAATGGGTCGTCGCAAGTGAATAAAGGTATCGCGGCCGCTGAGCACATATCTTCAGCACCATCGCCCCATTCTGAGAACATACTAGCACCCAGATCCTGCAAAACTTTTTGACAAGCCTCGTGCTGCTCTCTTGTTATCATGACCGAACCCTCACGGATCTGACGCCAAACCTCTCCGAGCAGAGACGCACCAAATTCAATCGCTCGACGATCTGAGGACGACGGTCCGCGCACTATTTGGATAGCATTGCAGTCCTTAGCAATGTTAAAATTCTTCAAGTCAGACGGTACGCAAGGTACGGCAACTTTCACCTTAAGTGGCTTCATCTTGGGTGCTTTCTCTGATCTAGGCAGTAACTCAACGTGAAGAGCACGGTGACCGGCTGTATTAGCTAAGGCTGGGGTTCCGTTGTGGAACACTGTAAGGGCAGCTACAAGAGCTGTCCCACTTGAACTCGAGCGACTTGGGCTAACAAACATCTTCTCGGACTCACAAATCAAACCACAAGCTTTTCCTACATTTTTTTTGCCCCGAACGGTATAGGACACAACACAATAAACCTTCAGACCTGGTGACACATGCCATCATAACACATGCCATCATAACACGTGCCGTACAAGAAGGAAGCGCCCCCCAACACAAATGGGACTGACTCGACAAGCGGGACGTATCTGTTTCAGTTTCGCGTCTGCAGACAACACTCACTGTAGTGAGACTAGAAGTGTCCTGCTACGAAACTGTGTCCGGGGCATCACGCGCAACCCTGTACCGAAACGGGGACACTGTTCTCTTTGAGAGACCCGCCACGGAGGCACCGGTGACCTACTATTCCGGCGCGCACGTAACAAATGGGTCTCTCGTCTGCCGTCGCTTAGTACTTCGATCAACCGTAGATCAGTCACTCATCACGAATACAGCCCCCATCAACGCGCGCTCTCTTCTACGGCTCCTGACGTACACGAATCTACTGACTAGAAATCCTCTCTTTGTTGTTTGTTATTGTCGTTCGTGACACAGGTCATCAAACGACCAGGTCATCAAACGACTGCGGTACCTTGCCTTCTTTTTCACTTCCTGCTTTTACCCCCTTCACGGTTTACTACGGCTGCTTCAACACCGCAGAGTCATTACAAAATCCAGCAGACCTATCCCGTAACACGGACAAAACCTGAGTTTGCAAAAGGTTGAAAAGGTAAAAAGCTTGTGGAAACCTTGCCTTGTTCATCGGTGTCGACGAACACGTGGTGGAGGTCCCCTGCCTTGGAAATTCCCGGCAGCCCTTTCTCTGATCTAGGCAGTAACCCAACGTGAAGAGCACGGTGACCGGCTGTATTAGCTAAGGCTGGCGTTCCGTTGTGGAACACTGTAAGGGCAGCTACAAGAGCCGTCCCACTTGAACGATTTGGGCTTACAAACATCTACAGCAAGGTAAAAGGGAAGGAAGCGCCTCCCAAGGAAAAGTGACTTATCGCGCCAGTGCCGCGTCTGCAGAGAACACAGGCTGTAGTATGGTATCTTGTCTGCCAGTCTTGACATACACCCACCGACACATAGAAGTGGCCTCACCGTCGTTGCCGTCTGATCGGCGTTGGAAGAGTAACAACCTCCACCTTGTCGTGTTGCTGTTCATCGACTCGCTGTGTTCTTTCTTGCTCTATCGATGTCAGCGCACCAGGCAGCCACGACAGGCCCCCGCGACGTGGTGGTGACTAAGACGGGGGTGCGGGCTCGAGTATCTCATCATCAAAGAGAGACAACATGTCCACATACTCGGGCAAGTTCGCACCCACGATCGTGGCCGCGGCAACGGCTCCCAGCACTATCGTACAAATTTCACGGAGCGACTTTGTCCACGAACGCGTCGAAGAGTTTGTTGAGTGAGACCAGATGTCCGCCACCCAGTCAGACCAGATGTCCGCCACCCAGTCATCTGCCTTTACAACTTTCCAACTATCCTTTACTCGCGGCAGCTCGGATGCCAGGTCGCACCCGAATAGGGGAAGCACGACTACGCTAGTCATATCTTCAGGAGACATATCAGCGGGCTTGTTTCCTTCGTTCCAACTCGAGAATAGATTGACACCCAGGTCCCATAGAACCTTTTTGCAGGCCTCACGCTGCCGTCTGCTGGCCATGCCCGCACTCATAAGCATATTTTGCCAAGCCTCTCCGAGCAAAGACACCGCGAACTGGAGAGCTCTGACATCTGAGCACGACCCACCCACTATTTGGACGGCGTTACAATCCCTCACGATTCCAAACTCCTCCAACTGTGACGGTATGCAAGGTACGGCAACTCGCAATTTGATTGTCTCTTCTTCTCCTCTGGCATCCCGAAACTCCAACTTAACGCAAAGCGTGCCAAGACCAGCTGTATTGGCTAACACCGGCTTCCCACCGAAGAATTCCGTTAACGCAGCAATCAGAGATGTCCCATTCAAACCTGGCTGTCTTGAACGTCTTGAACATGCAAACATGACGACTACAATTTTGCTACCATTTAAGTTATTCCCGCGGGGGCCACATCGAGACGTCGGTCGGCACCTACAAGGTCGGCGGCACTACAAGGGTGGGCACCTACAAGGTCGGCGGCAGCTTCAGGGCGTTGCAAATGCTTCAGGGAACAAAAAGTTGGAGATAAAAAGTGGTCCGGCTACATGGCGGCACTGTACTTCGGTCGGAAGATGACCTCAGTTACCTCGTTGGCGGGGACGTTTCTTGCTAATGTCATCGCTCCCGAGACCGCAACCGCGGCCACAGCCAAGGCCCCTGTGGCGGGTCCCAGCAGCGTTCCCCGGAGCACGTTCGACCATGGCTTGTTGTCGTCAGAATCGTCGGACCAGATATCTGACAACCAATCAGCATTTACTGCAGCCCAACGATCCACTGACGGGGCCATCTTCCACTTCGGTGCACCGGCGAACAGAATTTTCGTGAGATATTCAGTGATCAGTTGAGAGGTCATATTTTGAGAAGGGAGTTTCCATTCGGCCATCTGTTCAGGGGTTATCTGTTCACTGGGATAAGGGGGCGCCCATTCCGAATACAAATTGGCAGCGAGGTCGAGTACAACCTTCTTGTTGCTTTCATGATGTTGTCCGGCAGCTCCCTTGGACATCTCCTGCCAAACCCCTCCAAGGACAACCCAACCGAACTCTAGAGCCTCTATAAACGGACATGACCCTCGCACGATTTGAACGGTATTGCAGTGTTTCGTAACGTCAAAATTCTTAAACTCGTCTTCTGACGGGAGGCAAGGCACGGCTGCATTCACCCTCAACGAACCCCGCTGTCCCGCCTGCCGACGCTTCAGTGTGACGCAAACTTTGCCAAGGCCGGCTGTATTAGCTAAGGCTGTCTTTCCACCGACAACGACAGTCAACGCAGCAGTCAGAGCAATCCCCTTCGAACTTGAACGTCTTGAACTCACAAGCATGGCTGGCATAATTTTTTCGCTAAAAAATTTTCAAGAACACATTACGTACAGAAACAACGTCCGAAATAGGAAAAGTACAGACTCCTATATCAGCAGCGTTGTCCTGCCTATCCAGGAAAAGCACACACGCACACACACGCACACACACACGCCAGCACACACGCCAGAAGGGTTTATCTGTTTCCGCCACGCGACGTCACACTCAAACCTCTCACTCAATATAAAATGGAAGCGCGCTTCCATGATGTACTCTCCAGCCGAGTTGAAGGAGGTTATCATCCTGAAAACCACTTCCGTCAACCGAGACCTCATAGCCCGGAGAGGTCTCCCCGTCTTGGTCTCATGAATCTCCCCTTCCAAGAGTTCGTGGACGCCTTCGCCGCGCGCCTCTTCCCCTTCTGCGACGAAATCAACCTCGTCTGCTCACGCCTACAACATCAGCACAGGAAGGCCGATACCATGCAGGTAATAGAGGACTTCCTACTCCTCACCTCACGCTTCAAGGCCCTCTGCCGTCGCTGGGGACAATCGCGGAGATATCGCTGCCTCGACTACTGTTTTCTACGCAAGGTCGACGAAGACATCGAATTGCAAATCCGGTCGGACGTCAGCTTCAACCACCTTTCACTTCAAAACCTACTCGAGAGACCTACTCGAGAGAATCAAGGCCATCCACCGTGCCCGTCACGCCTGCCGTTCACGCCATACGCCCGGCCCCACAGCAGGAGCACGCTGCCGCTGACCATTCAGACCGTCTCTGCTAGTGGTGCAATTACACAATGAGCACATTAGCTTTAAGTACCCTGCGAAGCCGTGTACCCCAACTGCAACAGAGGGGGACACTTCCAAGACGGCAGATCACGAGAAGGGTTTATTAGGCACTGGCAAAGCGCCCCTTCGCCGTGAGCCAGGAGGATCATTCGCACTGAGCATCGACGACATCAAAAACAACAGAGAGCTGCTACGGACCTTCGCGAACATGTATCACGAGCAATTCGAGAAGGAATCCTGCTACTACCACAATGCCAAGCAGGGTCGGGAACGGAGACGGGATGGTACAGCGCACCAGAGTCGTTGGGGCGACCCGGGCGACGAAGCAACGTTCAGCGACGAAATGCTCGAATCCGGACGGGTAGAAAGTCTACTCGTGGGGGCCCAAGAGGAAAACCGTCTTAACTGTCGACATGTGCAACTTCCGGATATACTCAAGCTGCCTACGACTCGACATGGACGAAGGTCGGACGTTGCAAGGTACTAGAACATCGGACCAAACTCCTCGAAGATGGGTACTCCAGAGACTGCGCGACCACGAAGTATTTCTCAACTCAGGGCCCACCGCCCCGGAAGACATCAATGGCGTTCGACGGCTCCTAGGGCTGGTCGGGTACCTGTGCAAGTTCATACCCGACTTCGCCGCCCTCGTCAAACCCATCCAAGAACTCATCACTGCGGAAGGATTCGTCTGGTCCGACGAATGCCAACGGAAGTTGCCAACGGAAGTTGCAAACGGAAGTTCGAGGACATCAACCATGTACTCACTGCGTCCTAACCGTCATTGCCGCGCTCCGGACTGCCTTTCTGCCTGGACAACGAACCGTCCACCCATGCCACCGCCGGCGTACTGCAGCAAAGAGAAGGCGATACCATTTACGTCCTCCCCTCCAATTCGCCTTTAAGAAACTCACTGCCGCCGAAGCAAAGTGGCCCATCCATGAACTACGCCATCGTGTGGTCCATCTTCCACTTGGCCCACTACCTCAGAGGGAAGGAATTCATCGTCCGTGCCGACCACCAAAGCCTCAAATGGCTCTGGAATACGGAAAAGTCGCGCATCGCACGCTGGGCGATGCTCCTCCAATAATTTCAGTTCAAGGTAGTCTACCGGCTGTATCAGGTAAGGCCGGTGTTCCACCAACCGAGACGGTTACAGACATGTATGAACATGTGGAGCACCACAACCCGCACATCCCCGAAGGTGGTTCTTCCCATCGGTGGTTCTTCCCATCGGCGGTTCTTCCCATCGGCGGTTCTTCCCATCGGCGGTTCTTCCCATCGGCGGTCCATCAAAAGTTAAAAGTTGGAAAAAGTTTTTGCATGGTGGGAGGACTTGCACTGGTTCTTACAATGCCGATGCCGGTCTTGGGATCTCACAAATAACTTGGCACTCGCTTGACTTTTTCTTGTGGCGCGGTAATGCGATTGCACCAAGCTGGTTAAATAGTCTCTCTGGGCTAGTATCAAAATCGACCAAGTCGTCTGCTTCATATTTGTTGAACTTTTGATCTCGTAGTGAGCATATGCGCCTGGCGATGAGGCACCTGCAACCTGTTTCTGGCAACGTGCAGTTGGCTGAGTGACAGCGCCGACGGGATCGTGAGCAGTGGGGGCTAGCGGCGAGCCGGTAGTAAACTTGACGCCCCGTATTCTCCAGTTCTGCTGACGGCAAATCACTCACATCTTTGTTCAGAACGGTTGGTGCGAGCTCTTTTGCGGTTTTCTCGAATAGAAGTCGCACCCCCTCCTTTCCCGAGTTGCACTGGATCCCACATCCGTTTGGGAAGAAGTGACGGCCGACTGCCTTCCCGACGACTGCTAAATCGAATTTAGTGGGATTGCCAAAGTAGTGACAAAAGGGAGATGGATAGTCCCAACGCGAGCAAATCAATTGACCACCATCACCGCTGCACCACCCCACTTTTAGCCAGTCAACCTCAGTCACAGGTAGCATCTTCTCCCTCGTGGCGTTAAATGAACGTTGACAAACGTCCGTTGTTGTTCGCAGTGAAGCCAGTTCTGACTCTGAAATAATGTCGTTAAGAAGCCTCCATTCAGGAAAATTGTCGTTGAGTACCTTCCATTCGTCCTGTACGTCGTCAGGTGCTGGTGGCAACGGCTCTGGCGTCCACTCGTACACATCCCAGGCAGGCACCGATACTTCGGAAGGTGCCGATCTTAACGAGCTCAGTTGTCGCAATGAGCTGTTCTTCGACGACTCGGAGCACCTGGGCAACATCAAACTGGTCAGCACTACAGTCCCCAGGACAAAGCCACCCACTGCCACGCTCGCAGCCACCGCCCTACTCCGCCACCAGGGTTGGATGCTGAGAAGACCATTCTTCTCCCAGGAAATTGATCTATCGATAACGGGCAGCCAGTCCCGATCCGGTACTTGCGATAGGAGACGATCCCGCTCCGCCGGCGTCAACATTCTGGCATACAACACTTCCAACACGTCTTCGGGACCCTCTTCATCTTCAATGTTAACATACTCAGCTGGAGGACTCTGCTCGAAAATTTCATGCCACACTTCCTCCGCAGCTGACGGATTTGCGTCTTCAAGGTGCTTCATAACGGCGTCGGCCAGCGCACTCCTGATGCGGCTGGAAGCTTCAATTTCAGCCGTCGATTCATTCGCTTCGTGGTATATAAGTATCCTCCTTGACCACTCGAGCAACAGGTCGAAAGGCAAATGGCAATCGGCCTCCAAAGGATGAGCCTTCATTAAGGTGTCGCTGAGACGACCTAGAACCACAACTTGGGTCATTTCCTCTCCTCCAACACCCACCGATAGCATTCGTGCCACACAGTCACAGTCGGTAATTGGAGGCCTCTCTCCATCCCGACCCACCAGGCTGGCCAGAGCTTCTCCCCACCTTGTCCTGGTCTTATCCAAATAGACAATTGCCTTCATGAGCTTTTTTTGAGTCAATCAAAAAATGGAAAAAAAACGCCGTTTCACATGGTGACACTGGACACCTCGATTACGTCAGGTGGACGCAACCCGTCACGCTCACCACCACCTTATGGAACGCTCTTTAGAAGTGGGAGATGAAAAGTTGGTCAAAGATGAAGACTTCTTGGGCAGTGCTAGGAGATGCGCTGTTGGGTCGTGATCAAAGCGGTCTGGCTTAGCGGTCGGGGGCTTAGCGGTCGGGGGCTTAGCGGTCGGGGGGTATGACACTTATCGAAGCTGTGCCAAAGATCGCTCCTGTCGAGACAGGTGAGGGACTGAGAGGTATGTGGCGATGTCGGTGTAGATAGGTGAATGAAGAAGATCTGACGGGCGCTTGTGGAGGTGTCCCGGTACGAATGATTCTGAACACGACTAGCCGACCAGTGTGATCAAGACCAGTGTGATCAAGACCAGTGTGATCAAGACCCGGGACCCGACCACGGGCTGGAAGATGCAGATCCAGATGTAGATACTGTCTAAGAATGTAAGTTAGGCGATATATTAAGCGCAAGTAAACCGGTCGTGTCCCCTTTTCAACATTCTCTCCACTATAAACATTTCTTTATCACACTTCGAACCTCCTTCAATCGTTGAACCTCCGTCACATCCGTTGGGAATGCTCCTATTCAGTACCAATTGACCAGTTGCTTCGGTCGTCTTTTGCATACTATTATGTCGTTGGTTCATCTGTGTGTTCGTCGTCTTCTTGTTGAAGTTAGTGTTATAACCGGCGGCATTATTGTATGTTCTGGTCTTCCTGTCGTCTGGTCTTCCTGTCGTCTGGTCTTCCTGTCGTCTGGTCTTCCTGTCGTCTGGTCTTCCTGTCGTCTGGTCTTCCTGTCGTCTGGTCTTCCTGTCGTCTGGTCTTCCTGTCGTCTGGTCTTCCTGTCGTCTGGTCTTCCTGTCGTCTGGTCTTCCTGTCGTCTGG